TTTGTTTCCTTCTTTCTAATATTTTACCTTTTCGTTTTGTTGTGCATTATTTTCGTGGCAATATGTTTTTCGTGCACGAACAAAGTGTCATGGTGCGAGTGAAGGGAGGAAGTTGGACGAATCGCGGGAAAAATGGGCCGCTTAAAAAAAGAAGAATAGAAAAGGGCGGGAAAAGTCTTTTCATGAATTTTTACGATCATTCTACGATTTTTCTTTTGTCTAGATTAAGTGAAATGCCATCCAGCGTATATATAATAAAAATTAATTGAATTAAAAATAATAAGAAGAAATACACACTAACGTGTATGTGCGTCTGTATGTGTGTGTGTTTGTGTAGCAACAAATAAAATTATATGCTCACTTATCAGTCCCTACTCTGGGCTTTGCAGAGATTACATCCACAGAAAAAGGTGGTTTATTTATTTAGTCTTTAAAAAAAAAAAAATCAAGTGTTAAGAGGTGATTTGATAAAAATCGCCTAAGGATACCGTAAGGTTGAAACCAAGGCAGCGGATTCAGCTGACATCCTGATTTATATATATATATATATATATATATATATATATCAGTAGATACATACGTGAGAGTAATAGAAAATTCTCGGCCCTGCCAAAGAGACCTCACCGAAAATTCTGTTTGGTCACTGAGCCAGATTTGAGGAACTGGATCGGACTGAGACCTTTTCAGCAATTCCTCGTAAATATCTATGTCACTTTGTACATATCAATTTATATGACTATGAATTGCTTTCGATATGCGTGCGTATCCCTGTGTGTGTGTGTTTCCATTTCAGGTTGCTTTTAAATATTCATTTCATTTCCATTATTAGTCTACGCGACTGCCTTTGTCTCTCCCCTCGCAGTCAGCTTCCAATCGATTCTCTTTCCCATTTTCTACGATTTCCCTCCTCCCCCCCTCTCTCTCTCTCTCTCTCTCTCATTCACTGTTCCTTAACTATCCACTTTCCTCCTCCTCTTGTCATTGGGGTCTGCTAGTAAATCAAGCACGCGTATGACTGAAATTGATTCACTTTTTCATTTTGATCTCCAGCTTGATACTCTTTTCAAGGCTCACAGCCGATATGACGTCACAAGTGGCTACCAAAATGACATTCATCTCAACGAACACACGACCTTCTGCTAAAAACAACAAATACTTGAGTCGGGCGGACAGATTTCAATCTCATTATTTAAGCGGAATAAACGCAATAACTTCGATTTATTCCGATTAGCTTAAAAAATTCAATCATTAATAATCACTGTTGTCTGAAGATTTCAGTTAATGTATTGTCATTATCCCATAATTTTTGTACCAATATCCTCATCTCTGTGTTCGTATGTGTGTGTGTGTGTATGTGAGAGAGAAAGAGAGAGTAAAAAGTTTCAGCTTAGCGCTCTTTCTCAGTTGTATATTGCATCTGGTAATTTTTTGGGACAGCGCCTACACAGTCTTTCAGCTTGATCCAGTTTTTATAACAATACTTGGCTGTTAAGTCCTTCCAGATTAAAAAAAAAAATAGCCTACACGCCATTGTTGGTGTGTGTGTATGGGCAAAATACACACAAAAACACATGTACACACACACAAACACACACACACTCACATACACACTCACACACACACATTCATACACACACATACACACTCACTCACACACACACACACACACACACAAACACAAACGCGTGCAATAGCAAAAATTTCTCCTGAGCCGTAGAGTTCGACTTTGGTTTTTATAGTGGAGGTCAACAAATATATGATCACACTAATGATAAGTTGAATTCAGGGGGGGGGGGTTATTGAAATAGTTGTTGCTTTTCCAATTGACCTCAGTGCCTAGTTAAAAATGAAAAATATTCAACCAGGAAAAATGAAACCAAGCAAGCTCCTCTTGCCTTCAATCTGTCATATGAGTATCATATTTTTCAAGCCTACTTTCCTCCTTATGTCTTTAGGTATTTCAACTGTCTCTTCCTGATGTTAGGCATAAATTTCCTTTTTTGTTTTTAATTTGCAGAGGCACGGTGAAGTCTCAGATTGAGTAAACCGATTTCGAATTCAAGTCGAATCTACTTACGAGCTAATACCCTTGGGAAAGATATGAATCCTCTTCTTCTATTACCAGCTATGGGTAAATAGCAGAATAGACCGGGTTCTATAGCCATGGATAGCAACTGGCAGAAAGAAATGGCAACATACTGCGGGAAAAATCTGCCTCGTCAGTCATGTATCGGAAGATACATGATCGCCTACGCGTGTATCACGCATGGCACATAACTGACTGTTGAATTAGATTTGATAATTCTATGTAATTTGTGTGCGCTGAGCACAAACTTTTACTCAATTTTACTCTTTCAGATCCTGATGTTGTTTAAAACCCCTCCTCTTTCGTCGTATTCATAAAAGTTTTTCTTAATACGCGCTAAGTCTTTTTAATTTTTTTATGTAGGTATTTGTACCTATTGTTATGGTATTGTTGTATTGTGTATGCTTTTATATGTAACGCCCTAAAATATTTTTAACTTAATATTTTAATTTTTTCGAGCGTTCCTGTTTTCTGTAGAATATTCTAGAGGGACAACTAAAATATATAAAAGCGACTCGTTTTAGGAGTTAAGCCAATTCAATCAGTCAGTTAACTAAGTTTGGGCATTAACATAATTTTGAATTGGCATATGATTCTATGAGTGATTTTATCATGATTTAATAATTGATTTAATTAGACGTAAATTATATTGTACCTATTCATCCATGTTTCTAGTTTAATTTCATAGATTGTAAGTACCTATCTCATAATAAGTTCCTATTTAAACTATTTTTTTTTCAGATTTTTTTAAATTTATATAACTTAAGGGCTTTAAATACCTTTACAAATTGGCAGAACAATCAAACAATTTGTCATCAAGCCCTAAAAAGTTCAAATGCAAAAACAATCCTGATTCCTTTTGTCTTATAATGTGGAAATTGTAGTGAAAGCTTCATATCTGTTTCTTTTTTTAAAGTCTTTTCTATTGCTATAATTTAATTTTACTGTAGTTTGAACTGCTTTTATTCATGAAATTTGAAAAAATATTTTAACACATGACTTCATTTTTAGTCCTAATTTAAAAAATCCGGAAAATGGCAAGTAGAAATGATAGAGCCAAACTGAGTTAAAATTCGTATTACATAGAAACAAGCATCAGATATCATTCAATAAAATACGCGTTCTAGGTAATCGATGAATCTAGAACAAGTTTTTCAAGGTTTATTTAGATATATGTATTTAATTAATGAGTAGATAAGTAGATTTCCTTTATAAGTTTTTGTCGACTGGGTATATTTCGTTAAAGAACAAAAAACAGATGGGTATGGACTCAACCAATGCTCTAAGGACACATGGCCCAATGGATAAAAGGATTGTTCGAATCCAGTGACTTGACCCAAAGAGATGTGAGTTAAATAACTAGCTGCTGCTGAAGGTGAACAAAAATAGAGTTGAGTTAAATAGAGATAACTGATACTGAGGCATCCGGAAGAGGCATGTCACGTTGAACTAGAACAATCTCAGTGGTCGAAATAAAGGGTTTAGTTCGAAATTCCAATCATCTGAAGAAGGTCGGCGAGTACAACGGCCGAAACATTGGCAACAAACAATCCAAATACTATAAGTAGTATAGGTAGATTTCGTTTTATTAGACTGGTTGCCAATCACACTTAAAAAGCCCAATCTACCCTGATAGTTAAAACCACACAGGGAAGGGGGATTCATGCCTTTTCTGTGGAATTGATGCGGAAAGTCGACCCAATACACTAGGCCGGAATTTGAACTCGCCTCACCGATTCCACTTTTTGCGCCATCTGCACATCCATATTTGAAAGTTACTACTTTTTATATATATTTATGTGTGTGTGTGATGACTTTTCTATTGTCATCAGATACAATACACTGACCAGTCATGATTTACAGCAATTCGCTGCTAAATTCTAAATTGTATGCTAACAGTTTCTTACACGCACTTCTCACTTGTGGAACTCCCTTCCGGCTCCATCGTCCTGCGTATGACGATAAACTACGTCCGGCAGCAAGGCCTCTGTTCGGGAGGTTTTGAGAAGTGTGGAAAAAACTTTCAATTGCTGCTGTTCCCAGGTCCACCCTGACCCAGACTGGTAGCATCTGTTAAGATCCCAGCCATGGGCAAATATTTAACTTAGTTCAAAACATTATGAATACATAAAAGTAGATTTTTATAGTAAAAATAACAGCAATACATTTTGGGGTAAAAATAGCAAAAATACAGTAATTCTGGGAAAAAAACAGTTGTTATATTTCAATCTGCAACTGGTATTTTAAATAGCATTCAAGGTTTATTCACATAGGTTCTCTAGTACGTATGGTACAACCAGGTTGTTCTGCCAAAATAAAAATTACGTCAGCGCTGATTAGAGAGCTTTTGTGTGTAGATGATTGTAAGATTGTGGTGCACCAACAAATGGATTCAGTTCCATTCTCTACTTTATAGCTTACAGTCATTCTACAACCTGATCTACAAACTGATTTCCTACAAATACATATTCTATTCATACGATCCTACCCTAAAAATATTTCGGCATAACCCAATTAATTTGTTGATATGACTTAAAACAAAATAAACCATAAACTTCTGACTCCATGCTTTCCAACCAACTTTAATCTGTAAAAACTTAAATGCAATGTCAATTGCTATCTACTCTCCACGTTTTTCTCTTCCCGTTAATGCTTCTGTTCCTAATTCTTCCACAACCGGTAACCCCTTGTGTCTTAGTAGATTTACTGCCTTGCTTGGGCTGATACTGATTAAAAAAATTAATTAAATCTGTTTAGATATCAACGTTCAATGCCAAAGAATCAAGCAAGTTTTTTTAAAATTATTTTTGCGTATTATAAATCTCTAAAGACTATTTATTTACGTAAATGTTATACCATTTTTTCGTTTCAGACATGTTTCCCATCCTTTGCCTTGGTCAAGCAGATACAGCTGGTAAGTTGACTTTTTTTCTCCATGTCGAGTTTATTAAAAAGAACTGCCAAGGATTGATTAGTATATTAAAAAAAAAAAAACATTATACAATTTTATGGATGAGGAATCATCATTATTATCAGCCTTTCTATTCAAAATCCACCCCGTTACATATAAACACGAAGTTTCAGTCATTATACCCTTTGGCGTTCCTCGGGTGTTTGGTAAACTTCTCAGAATTTTGAACTGAATCCTTTATTCAATGTATGAGAGAAAATTCTGTTTTCCATGCTTAGGGTGTGTTTTGTTCACTGGCCACTCGAAGAAACGATGAGTATCAAATAAAATGAGGAGGGGTGTCTTTCAATCACCCAAAATTTAATAAGGGAAAAATACCAGTTTGGCTTGCATTGACCTAACATAAATACGTCTCTGTCTATATTTCTGAGATGAGGTATTGTAATTATTTACACTATTTACATTGTTCGGACAGTTGTCTTCTTCTTTATTGTCATATTCACGACGTTTCGGCCGTTGTACGCTCCGACCTTCTTCACGCTGGAATTTCGATCGAACCCTTTATTTATTCCACTGGAGTAAATTGTCCTTAAGGACATATGGACCGGTGGATAAAAGCGTTAGTTGAAGTAATCCAGTGACTTGACCCAAAAGTGTTGTGAGTTCAATACCTGGCCACAGCAGAGGTGGACAAAAGCTTGGCGAGTAGAGTTGCTAAAGGGAAACTGAGATATCCATAAAAAGTATGACACGTAGATCTAGAACAATCTACCCCCGTGGACTAACCTAAAAATATTCAAATGAGATATGCAAAGAACGTATAAAAAAAGGAAGGCTAATTGAGAAAAATTGAATCACATTCCTAGATAGATATAAATAACTGCGCAATTTTTGGTATTTTCTGTAGTTTTTGGTAGTTTCTGTAGTCATTAGCATTTAAATAGTTTTTAAGCCGAAATAACATTTTTCGTGTGTAAATCAGATAAGTGAAGACCAAGAACAACAAAAGAATTCTGAATTTTTATTAGTTGCAAGTAGTGTATATTCTTTTTTAATTTTATAATTATGAATGAAAATCGTTTAATTTTTTGTCAACACTTGCAACTCTAACCCTAACCATAAAATTAATCATGATCATAAAACTAACCTTGAGCATAAAAGTAAATTATATATAGGGATTTACTAAGCGTAGTTTAGATGCGGCACAAGACCGAAAGTATGGGAAACCCCATGAGGAACGAACACTCTCTTCAGTCGTAAATCATCGGTGAAGAGTTACGCTTGTGTAGCCATTACACCATCAAAGTTTACTGGAACTAAAACTATATATATATATATATATATATATATATATATATATATATATATATATATAGTTTTCAATGGTCAAATTTGTTTTTCGTTTGTTATTTACTACAGTAGTAGCAGCAGAAGCCGCCATCACTTGTTACCTCCCTTTGGTATTTTTATTACATCATAAAATCAGTTTACGAACTAGTAACAAACTTTTACGAAACAATTTTGTTATTCTTTTGAATATTTACTATATAGGTGGGCGATGGAAAATGAATCCATGTGAAAGTGGGCGATTACGCAAAAAAAAAATGTTGGGAACCCCTGATTTATTTAACCTATTTATTTAACCTTCAAAATTCGTTTCGCGGTGGTATAAAAAAAAAACAAGATATATAAACAAAATATTGCCTAATGACCTGTTGCCCATGTGTTGAACAAGGGCGACTTTTGTGTGAGTTCGTAGGCGACAGAGAACTTTCGGTAGTATCTGTCATCTTCGTCGGTTTTGTTTCAATCGGCTAACCAGTGTTTGTGACAAATATTGAAGTCACCAAAAATATGAATGCTACCTGAGGGATACTCAGAGAGGATATTATTGTCTCAGATATTTTGTCAAAAATCCTGAGAACGATTGAGAGTGAAGATGAAAGAGGAGCTGTGGACAAATGCCACGCGGAAGTAATACGAGAGATCAGTCCTCGTCTTGGGAGGTTTTGTCACATGGGAACCTTAATGTAGGAACTGTGTCCATGGCCGAAGTGATTTCCATTGTCCTGTTTTATTATTAGGGGCGAGAGGTTCAGGATTGTGAGACATTTATACCAGTTTGAATCAGGAATAAGACGTTAGGTTTGACTTCTAGAAGATGGAGTTCTAGTACCTCTGGAAAGTTGGAACATAGAAAACTCACATTGTATGAGATAGTGAATTTGGGGTCTAGTTTTGTTTTTGTGAGGTTGGGTTTTATTCCTTTATTCGATTTTGTTGTGGTTATGGTTAGAAAATATAATCTAAAACTATATATATATATATATATATATATATATATATATATATATATATATATATATATTGATATTTTTTTAAAATATGATTCCTTCTGCTACATAAGAGTTCTCATGTTTCAAAAACGAGAGCCGAGACCATCAATATAATTATTAAAATTAAGTTGAATCAAGGTGTTGGGTCCCGTTTCATCCTCAAGCGAAAATTTAGGAATAAGCTATCTTGTAGTTTGCGCGTGTTTATAAGTATGGTCCATTGCAACATTAATTACTATGGAAACGGCTGGGCCGGCCATCTTGGTTAGGTGGTCAGACAGTTAATTCTTATCTACAGATTCGTCACATTCAGAAAGGTTATGCCAAGGTAGAGTGGGATATCTATTTCAAAGCTAATGGTGGCGGTCACCCTCTAGTTAGTTTACAGCGAGTTATATTGCATGGCGCGACGTCAAGTCGTTAAGTGTCGAGAGGATTTTGTTTTATTATTATCTATTTGTTAATCTCTTTATTTGTTTATTGAAAATGGCTGTTCCGTATACAAACGAGTTGCACTGAACTACAATTTGTTTTTTGACGACTTCACAAAAGGTTTTTTTCTATTTAATGATTTGGCTAAGCTTTTTAAACTATGGAATTTATTTATTTATCTATTTTTTTTATATGCTAATTATTTAATGCGAAAATTTGTTGATGTCGGCAAAAAACCGTTAACTCCTGCCTATGGTTTAATAACTTTTCATTATTTAGAAACTTAATGATGTGTAGTTTATCGTGTGGGCATAAAGGGCATGGGTCATCTCAGGTTTTACAAGTTCTTGTTCTATTTATTATTTTCCACTTTACTTTTGATGTTTTATTCGTTTCTTTTAGATGCCAGAAATATTAGGATAGAGATGTCTGATTTCTATTTTGAATATTGTCGAAGGAGCTCTTGTGTTGTCTCCATCTAATTTCAAATTTATTCTTCGTTGACCCAATGTATATCCTATCAGTGTTAGGACTCTCAATGGATGAGATAGTACATTGGTATACCACGGATTTTGTGAGGCATTTATTTTCCAGCGGGCAGTCTTTAGAGTTTCTACAATCACATAATTTTTCGGTGTTTTTATCTAATTTCAGTTTAAGAGCTTTATTACTGTTTTGGCATGCATGTTTTTCCAGGATTTTATTATTATGTCTTTTTATGATTCTTTCTAGATTTTCAGTGCAGCTGTAACTTAATTTTAAGGTGTTTTTATTAAAGATCTCGCTACGTTTGTTATTAGTGGGAAAGTGTTTTTCAATTGAGTTCCTAGCTTTAATTGAAAAACACTTTCCCACCTATAGCAAACTTAGCGAGATCTTTAATAAAAACACCTATTCATCTTGAGCTCCTTGATAAAATCCAAAGAATCAGCAATATTATCGGTCCTGATCTGACGGTTTAGCTACATTTTCCCACTGCCAAAAGGTTGCCTCTCTGCGTCTTTTCTGTAAATATTTCATGGTAATTGTTCGGATGAGCTCTTCGCTATGACACATAGACTTTTTGAATTTAAGGGCAGTACTAGACTGGCATGGAGATCTCATCAATTTACAGTTGAGCTGGTTAGATGTAACTGTAAGTTCTATCCTAACAGTTTCTTTTATTGCACTTCCCGCTTGCGGAACTCCCTTCCGGCTCCATGCTTTCCAGCCAACTGTGTGAACACTGAATTCAACACCGAATGATGATAATATGTTCATGCTGTTTCATACATCAGTCAATGTATCAACATGTACTGAAGATTACGTTTAAACATGAAACAGACCGTCGCCATTCGGCATTGAACTTAATATCCACATTTATATATATCCACTTTATATATATATATATATATATATATATATATGTGTGTGTGTGTATATATATATATATATATATATATATATATATTCTACACACGCGTACATACACACATCAAAGATATAAATCCCCATAACACCAATATGAAACGTATAAATTATTTTTAACTTAATATAAGAAAATAACAAAAATAAGAAATCTTGCAGTCAATTTCTGAAAAAAAATGCTGACAATTAGACCGAACGATTACAAAAAAATTACTTTACGAAACTCTAGAGTTGGGATGCTGAATATAATATCAATCACCTAAGTGACAAATTTTATATTTGTATTGTAGATACAAATATAAAAGATAGATAGATAGATAGATAGATAGATAGATAGATGCACAGAGAGAGAGAGAGATTCTGAGCAATTAAAAAAGAGTAATAAAAGTAATAAAAATAAGCAAACAAGGAGTAATAAATGTAACAGAAATAGGCAAATACATAATAAATAAGGAAGCAGTGTGAGAAAGAAAATCTATCAAATTATTCCAACTTCAAACGCTGCAAAAAGTGCATAAATCTTTTAGTAACGAAACACTCAGCAATGGCGAATCGTCTATTGAATATTTGTTCTTGGGAAAAATCATTATTTCTTTCTTTCCATATGAATAAAAGCCAGGATTAATTTCTGCGAAGAAAATAGTATCGATATATATATATATATATATATATATATATATGTGTGTGTGTGTGTGTGTGTGTGTGTGTGTGTGTGTGTGTGTGTGTGTGTGTGAAATGTTTCAAAATACGTACCAGCATTAATCAAAATATGGCAGCAAGAATGTTCGATATATGATCTTAAACACACATATGTATATAATAACAATA